AGGAGGCCCCTCCCCAACTCCCCCCCGGCCCCCCCAGCCCAAGGGGTCGCTCTCGGCAATGGACACCGCGATCTCTGCACATCTGCGGCTCTAGTGCCGAGAGCGAACCCGCACCCTTTGCCCCCCGCCCGCGGAGCCCCCCGTGTGATGTCGGGACGGGCCGGAGCCCCGGCGGTGTCGGGCGGTGCTTGTGAACTGCAGGGGGGGACCCGCCGAGCGGGCCCGGCCCCGTGGAAAGGGGGATCCAGGGGGGGCGCCGGCTCCGGCCCTCGCGGCTTTATTAAACCCGGCGCCCCCAAGCCCGCGGCTGCGGGGACACGGCCCGGGGGACAGGGGGACGGACGGCACGGGCGGGGGGAGCAAGGACGGAGCGAGGGACGGGGGGGGTCGGGCTGTGCAGAGGAGCAGCGAGGGGGGAGAAGGGGCAGGCAGGGGGGACCGGGGACAGGTGGGGGGGCCGGGCTGTACAGGAGGGCAGCGACAGCGGCCGGGGGGAGGCGGCGTGCGGGGACGGGCAGGGCGGAGGGGCGGGAAGGAGGGCAGGGCGGGTCGGGGTGTGCAGCAGGGGCCGGAGGGGGAGCGGGGCCAGGCCGGCTGGACCAGGCCGGCTGGGGGGCCAGGGAGGGCGGAGGGGGTCGGGCTGCCCCTGCGGGGCAGGGACGGGGCGCCGGGCCCGAGCGGGTTGGGGAGGGAGGGGGGGGGGGGGGGGGAGAGGGAGGGGGGGGGTTTGGGGGGGGGAGGGTGTGGGGGGTAGGGGGGGGGAGGAAGGGAGGGGACGAAGGAACGGGAACAAAGTAAAAGAAAAGGGAAAAGCAAAAGCAAAAGCAAAGAAAAAGAGCCGCGGCAGCGAGAGGCTCCCGCGGCGCTGCTGCCTCCCCGCGCACTGCCCGAGCAAATGGCTGTGGGGGCGAGTTCCGGCGCTTAAATACCCCCGCCCCGACCCGCCCCCTGCCCGTCCCCGCCCCGCGCACCTGGACGGGTCTCACCTCGCACACCTGTGCGGGCCCCGCTCCGCCCCGGCCCCGCCCCGGCCCCGCCCCGCCCGCGCCGTTCAAAGCCGGCAGAGCCGCGGTCGCCCCGCGTTTGTGGAAGAAGCTGGTACCGGGATGCTGCGGGAGCGATCGGCGCTCGGGGCCGGAGTCCCGGCCCGGCGGCTGCTCCCGGCGCTGCGCCGAGCTCGAGGTGCTGAGCGGGGACGGCACCGGCACCGGAGGACCGAGGCTGGCTTGGAGCTGCGATGGGCTTTGGCAGCGGTACGGGGATCGGCATCGTCGGACTCGCTGCGGGGTGGGCGCTGGGGCCGAGCTCGGCAGGGCCGCTCGGGCCGGGGATCTGCCGGGGCCCGGTTGGGGGAGAACGGCGGCGCTTTCCTCGTACAGACACGGAACCCGGACCGGGACCGGCCGGGGTGCGGGGACACGCCGGGCCGGCCCCGGGACCCCCCGATGCCGCCGGGCCCGCAGCGCCGCCCGCACCCCCCGCGGGATCGGAGCTCCTCCCTCTCGGGCACCCCCGAGGCCATCGCACCCCCCCCCGAAGAACATCGCCCGCCTCCCTCTTCCCCGCGGCCCCAGGAGGTTCCCGCCCGCAGGGCCCCCCGGGAACGAGGGCTCTGGGGCCCGCCGGGGCTCCGGCCACGGACCCGCTCCGGCCGCGGGGAGCCGGGGCCCTGCCGGGGCAGGGAAGAACGGGGGCAGCCCTTTCCCCGTTCCTCCCGTGCTCCGGGACCCCGAGCAGAGCTGCCCGTCTGTCCCCGTGTCCCTGTGTCTGTCCTCAGGCGGCCCCAGGAGTTGGCGCTGACCGTGCCGCGGGTCGGGCACAGGCTGCTCCCGGCTCTGCCTGCGGAACTTCGGCAATTGCCCCCAGCAGTTTTTTGCCCTGCCATCCAGAAGGTGCGGCTCATCTGACACCTGCCAGGTGAGACCTGAGGCTCTCCTTCCTCTTCCCCGCTTCCTCGGCAACTCGCACCCTCCTGGGGCGAACCCTCTGCTTTTTAAAAATCCCCCATCTTTATTTGCAGACGGGGAAGGTTCTGCCTGGGAGGGAAACGGCTACAGCAGAGGAAACCAAGAAACGTTCCAACCGGACGCTGCCGCGCGAGTCAAAGGAGGGAAGGACCGCAGGCAAATACAGTCAGGAAATGCGCTTTTATTCAATCTCTGCAGCGTTAAATCCCCCCTTCCCAGCCACGGGCCGGAGGGAGCGCGGCCGGCTGGGCTGTGCCCGGCTGGGGACGGGCACCAATTCATCACTGCCCTGCTCAGGGAGGTTTTCCGGCCCTGTCCGGGATTCACCCAACGGCTGCAAAGGTGCTCGTGTGACTTCCGAGCTCATTTGCAGGGATAAAGGAGCCAAACGAGTCCGGAGGGATCCTTCGCTCCGAGGCAAAGGCGTCGGTCGAGTGTCGCCGCCTGGTCCCGCCTGCGGGGGGGCGTCTCCTCCAGGTGAGCCTTCGGAACCCAAAAGGCCGGGGGGGTTCAGGTCGGGGCCGCTTTTCGGGCCCGGAGTTGGACGGAGCCCTCGGCGGCTCCTGCTTTCTGCCAGGAACGTTCTCGGGGCTCCCCGGGCAGTCCCAGCTGGGCAGGGAACGCGGGCCGGGAGGAGGCCGGAGCGACAGAGAGCGACCCAGCCCTGCTTGGGCTTCCTATTGCCGGGGGATGGAGGAGCTGTGCCCTGGAGCTGTGCCCCGCAGCCCCCGTGGGGTGGGCACGGGGAAAGGGCTGCCCGCGGCTCCTCAGCCGGATGTGCATCCCTTTCCTCGGGGAAAAGAACTCCCCGGGGCCGCTCCCGAGGCTCCCAAGGGACAGCGGCTTCCCGCCCGGAGAGACGTCCTCGCCCCTGCTCAGGGGCTGCCTCGCCCCGGGCCGGGAGCGCGTCCGGCCCCCGCCTTCTCCTGGGCCAACACATCCCCTGGAGCCCGGCCCGGGGCGGAAAACCGGCCGAATTCCAGGGAACTCGCTCAAGTCCCCCCAGGGACACCAGCGGGGTTGGGGGAGGAGGGTTAGAAACAGCGAAGTCTGTGGAATATCAACCTGTCCTTGTCCCGATCCCGCTGAGTAAACCTGGAACCGTGGCTGCTTCCTGGCAAACGTGGTGTTAGAGCGGCAGCTCTGCGGGGGAAGATCCGGGCTCCAGAAGGCACTGGGAGGCTGTTCCGGCAGGAATTCCCCATGGAATTGCGGGCTGTAGGTAGAATTCATCTAAACCTGCAAAGCTGAGAACCGAACCCAAACCTGGGCCCCACAAAGAGAACAATCTTTGTGCTGCCGTATCGGCCAAAGCCCCTGCACTGAGAGATCTTGGCAGCCTGAGGGAGGGCATTCTCTGCATCCCGGCAACCTGTGGGCTCAGGGACTGCAGCCACCAGGGCCCTCCAGCACGGACAGCCTGGACCCAGAGCACATCCCTGGGGATTAGCAGCGTCCTGGGCATCCCTGGAGACAGAAACCATCAGCCTCTGGGGACAGCACTTCCTTGCCAGCACACACAGCCTGCCACATTTAGGGGGGCAGCTCTCGGACCACAAAGCCCAGTCTGACCCAGTTCTCCTGGGCACCAACACGGACTCCACAAACCCACAGGAATGACAATCTTCTGCTGCTTTGACAAACTGCAGCCCAGCTTTGCAAACCTCAGTCCCTGCAGCTCCTGCTCTCCAGAGCCCCGTTCAGGGCTGGCTCCAGTTCCCTGGAGAACCTGCCCCAGCCCCACTCTGGGCCAGCCTGAGCAGAAGCCACTGGGCTGCACAAGGAAGAACCCTCCCCTGGCTGCTGCAGCTGGAGGGAGATCCAGCTCCCAATGGAACCCTGGCAACAGCCTCCCAGGTGGTCTCTCCCCACCCCTTGGCAATGGCTCAGGATGGCAGCAGCTCCAGTGCCAGCTCGGTCCCTGCACGAGTCCTTGTCCCAGCCCTGCCACACGGACACACACGGGAGACAGCCACGGGCACACAGGCCTTGCTTGCACAATTCCTCACCCACAGCTGAGGGAAAGCCACAACATTAAGAAATACCCTGGGCTGAGAGCACTCATCCCTCCAGTCCATCAGTTTGGTAGGGAACAGACCCAAATTCTAATCCTACCTCTACATTTCTAACAGGTTCTCTTAGAAAGATCCTGGACAGGAACTCAGACAACAGAACCCAAACACTGCACAAGCAATAACAGAAGGTTTGCCATGAAGAACAGGAGTTCCTTGTTTTCCTTAACACTCTGGGACTGGAGGACCCAATCTTTGCAACCAAGGGACACCAGAGATGTGATTAATACTTAAACCTCTCCCCCATGGTTCTGTCTCAGAGAACTGGGCCAGCCCTGAGCTACTCCCAGGTGCCTGCAGTGCTTTGGGGAGGGGCAGGACGACACCCCACTTCTGCTTGGAAACATTCCAGATGAGGAAAAGCCACTTCCCTTCTCTCTCTCTGACCCAGAACCAGAACAGTCCTGTAGGACAACACGGACTATGCACGGAAGGCCCGAGTCAGTGGGGGGAAAAGCCTAAACAAACCAAACCACCCCAAATTTCAAGATAAAAACATGCTGCTTCCTTAACAGGAGCACACCAAACTCATTGAAGCCAGAGAGGAAATTACAAACAAACAAATAAACAAACAAAAGACCCCAAAAGATGCTTTGCACTGATACATTCCCTGGTTGATCATTCCAAAGGAAATTCTCCATAGATCAGAAGCAAGTACCAACACTTGCTTGTCCTCTGTTGAAAATTAATGACTTGAGGGGCTGGACATGTCCAGTGAGGGTTCAGGGGTCTGGTGGGTCCTTTATGGCTGATCCTGACCGGCCCAGGCCAAACCCAACCACCCCCATGGCTGCTCCATCCCAAACCCGGGGACAACATTCAGACAGTTTGGAAATACTCCCCTTCCCTGCTACTCCGTCCTTCCCTACACATCCAGTGCCCAGGGAGCAAATGCCAACAGCAGGAGGAGAGAAAGGTGTCCCTCTGACTTACCCCACCCCACGGGCAGCACCAGGAGCCCCCAGCCCGGCCGGCGGGGCTGCAGCCTCTTGCCTTTGGCTGCTCCCAGCCCAGGGCACTTGGCAGAGCTGGGCTGGATCAGGGCTTTGGCCTGGCCTGGAAGAGAGGAGAACAAGGCAATTAAGGGCACTGGGCAAGTCAAAGGCTCCTGCCCTTCACCCTTCTCTTTAATTGCTCACTAGAGAGTTTGAGCCATGAAAAATCCAGGGGGGGACAACAAATGAAATGTGGCCTTTTCCAGCATCTTTATTCCTCTCTACTTCAGGCACTAAAAGGAGGCTCATCTTTCTCACTGCATTCCTTGCCCCACTTGAACAGAACCTTCTTCATTCCAAACCTCCCTTGGGAGTCAGTCAATCCTCTGCCATTGGACTTTGGGCAAAGGAAGAGACACCTGGGATGCTGGAGCCCAGGAAAGGAGGGAGAGGAAGCTGACAGGGAGAGGATTCAAGGCACTCCAGAACTCAGAAATATGTTCATGCCTTGCCAGCCCACCCCAATTCTCTGCCACCCACCTGAGCTGGGCAGGTGAGGCCAAGGCTCCCCTTCCTCCTGCCAATCACTGTCCCAGCACATGGATCCCCGTGCTGGGCAGCACTTGGAAAAACCTGGGAAAGGCAAAAGGAAAATGGCACTGCCTGTCAGAAAACAAGTGAACAAACCTTCTGGACAAATTTAATCCCATCCCTCTGCTCCAATAAACACAGGGCAGGCAGGTCTCTCCAGCCCAGGGAGAACAGGAAGGAGAACTGCAGGAACACAGGCAGGCACGGGCAGCTCTTGGCACTGATTCCCTGCAGACCTCTCTGCACTTGGGGCTCTTGGCACTTCATTTATAAAGAAGGGGGGGACAGCAGCCCAGGAATGCCCCTCAAAAACAGGGGCCTGGGCAGCTGGAGATTAGAGGAGGGGAGTTGTGAGGGGAGACACAGAGAGAGAACAGGAACAGGGGTTGTTTGGGAACAGGCTGTGTGTCCAGCAGGGAGGGGAACTGGAAACACGGGAGGCTGGAGGAATGCAGGGGGTGAGCACGGGCCTGCCTTGGATGGATCCTTTTGCCCTTTGCTCAGGGGCCTCAACTCCACCCTCTCTGAGAGCAGCAGGGAACTGCTGCAGGGGAAGAGTTCATTTAGGCACAAGGCAGTGATGCAGCCACTGGGGCAGGGGAAGAGGGGACAGGAACTGAGAGCAACTGACACCAAAATGACACAATCACCACTGAAAGGGACTTCATTGAGCTGCAACACAAACACAGTCACAGCACGCCAGGGCCAGAGGTGCCCACAGCACCACCAACACAGCAGCTGGGCTTGCAGGAACACCCTCTACTCAAGTTATGGAGCCAGGGGCTGACAGTTGGCATCCATCCTAAAGATGCACTCAGGCATCAGGGCCAAGTCCTGCCCACTCACGGCACAGTTCAGCCCCAGCAGCAGTGGCATTTTCTGCCTCTCCCTCCAATCTCATTTGGGACCCAACAGTTCAATGCTGGGGAATTTTGGCTTCATCAATGTTTTACAAAGTTGTGCTTCCTGAGAACTGGTGCATTTTTGAGTCTTCCTGACTCTTCCAGTGCTGCACTTGCCAGGATCCTTTGGGCCTGGTGTGTTGCTGACAGACAGGGCACTCCAGGAAACAACTTCCCACCAGTCATGGAAGAATAGGAACAGCTTAAACAAACCCAATCCAACACATGGGATACAGATTTCGGGGATACAAAAGGAAAGGAGCAAGGCATCCCATGCTGACTGCCCCAGAGACAGAACTGTGGCTCAGCAGAAATCCCTCCCCCACGGCCCCTCCCGCTCCCCCCCAGCCCACACGGCAGCCCCGGGGCAGCCGATCCCGCAGGCTCCGGCACTGGGACAATTCCTGCGGGTGCCTCCACCCCCGGGGAGGCTGCGGGGCGGCTCCAAGGGGATCCCGCTGGCCAGGCTCTGCCCAACCAAGCCGGCTTTAGGCCAGGCCTGGCACTGGGGGGCCGTGGGCACGGGCAGGTTGGCCTGAGCTCCCCGTTGGCCACCCCTGGAGCGCTGGGCAGGCGCCCCGGCGGGGCCAAGGGGAGAGGGCACGGAACAGCTGCACACACCTTGGCTGCCTTGGCCCAGCACACACTCACAGCACCTGCAGCCTTTAGCCAGGGCCCCTGAGCACACACAGCCCTTACCCTGCTCCTCAGGGGCAGCAGCCCCGGGGCTCAATTCGCAGCCAACTTCTCATCCTTTCCTTTGGTCCTTTGAGCCCTGGGCAGGGCAGAGACACGGGACAAGCACCTTCCTGGCATTGATCCCAGAGACAGCAACTCTGTGGTTCATAAAGTCAGTACAATAATTACTGGGATTAGTGGATGGATTAAAGTGTTCCAAAACTTTGTAGCAGGTGGTGAGAATCCTGTAAATATGTCCCAGCAGTGGGGAGCAGTGAGCTGTTCTAACCTGATGCCCAAAGGTCACTAATTGACCCCTAGAGTTACTGTTTGCATTTGGTGATCAAGTCAAGTCTTCTTTCAAATTTGCAGGGCAATAATTTGCACTTACATACAAAAATCCCTGGTTTACTTACATTGAAGTGTGTTATTTTTCCAGCACGATATCAGTCGGTGCACTGCAGCAATTCAGGAGACAACAGCCAGTTAATTTTTGCAATCCAGGATGGGAATACGGTCCTCCAGATCAGTTCATTGGTACCCATTAAGTCATTCTGTGCCTTATTTCTTTGTATTACAATATACACACTATGGCATGTGCACTCAGCCCAGTTCATAAATTACTGCCCAACAGATCCCTTTGCTCTTTTGGCAGCACTTCCCCAGAACAGCCCCGCAGGCAGAGCCCAGGGGACGGCCCTGCTGCTGTGACACTGGGGCTGTGACTGGCACCGCTCACACAGGGGGACAACGATGCCAGGGAGACCCCCCGGACCCAGCACCGTAGGGGAAACTACAGCATTGCATGGCAACAGTGCTCCCAGCCCCTGGAATCACATCCATCCCATCCCACTGAGGGCAC